TCTCACTTTGAGCAAAGTGAGTGGCATGCCTTCGCAGTCTTATCTGCCACGCGGCCAGAAAGGGAGATTTTGGAGACAACAATCTCTTTTTGGCACGCCTAGTGGGACCCACTGTGGGCTTTCACAAGTTTGTTGATCATATTCTCTATTACTAGATTGTGCCACCATGGCAAGTCCTTATTTTGATGATTGCCAGAAGCTCTTCATCACTCCGCCACAAGCTTCCTCTTATGTCAATCCACTTTATGATGAGAAGGCAACAACTGACAGTGAGTCTATCAAATCACTTGTTGAAAGGATAGTTGATTTTGCTGAGGAATCTAAAAGGCTTTATGAGGAACGCATGAAGAGGTTGGAGGAAAATTTGAAAGTATGCAAATTAAATCTTCCAAAACTTAAAACCTCTCAACCCAAAAGGGAGGTTTTAATGGAGGATTCAAAGAAGTGCCATGCAGCCGCGTCTCCAGGAACTTTGAAGCAGTTTTGCAAATCGCAAAACGTGACAGAGATGCCAATTGTAAATGAAGGTCAGACGACACTAAGGCCAGAGAATAACCCCATGATCATACTCGGGGGGCATAAATCACAATTGCAGCGTGCTACCCAAAGTCAGCAACGTCATGCAGCTTTGGAGGCGACTTCAACAAGTATGCCTCCAAGTCATTCTAAGTCTGCAAAGACTAATACTAGCAATAGTCCTCTTACTCCTGAGAGGTATAAACCAACTCAGGTGCAGACATGTCAGCCATCGATCAATCAAGGTCTATATGATGGTCGACAAAAAGCTAATGCTGCTACACAAAAGCCAACACTTTGGCCAGCATCAGTACATAAATTTGATAAGGTATCTACCTCATCTACTTCTACTTCTTTTGAGACTAACGAGCATGTTTCTTCTGCCTTGCTTAAGAAGTGTTCGCGGCGACCATGCTGTCTTAATGGTCGAAGCCCTTCCAAGTTCAATTATGGACAATGGCTGAAGGTGAAATATCCTTTTAAAGTCGTTAGTTTGAAGAGGGGAGTCATTTCCAATCTCGGGGGGCAACCTAGTCAGATTGAACAACAAAGGTTGCAAGACCTTATTGTTAATGAAGTTCACAAAGCTACAACTAAAAAGGCAGCAAGGTTTGTGCCGTTGCAACCTGATGCCAATTCAAGCATCCAATCAATGCCGTCACAGCAAAAGCATGTGTGCAAGCTTAGTCCACCTCAGCAGTTTGCAGACTCATTGCCCAAGGCCACTCAGGTGGCATGTAGGCCACCATGTTGTTCAACATGCCGTAGGCCATATTCAAAAAATAATGATTCTTTCCAAAGTGGCTTTCACCAAAAATTCCCAAATTTTCCTTACAGCCACAAGGATAACATGGGAGGCGGCATAAAAAACATCATGCCATCACATATGCCAAGTCGAAGAAGGAGGAAGAAATCTAAAGACCTCTGTTGGACACCAATGAAGGAACAAAAGCAACAAACCCATGTCTCTGAATGGAGGCACGGGGGGCATGATCTCGTAGAAAAGCATGGAGGCATGTGCAAATGCTACCTCTATAAACAAAGTCAATTTAGACATTGTCGCCATATAAATTTGGTGGCCTGCCTAAAGTTCCCTACCCAAAATCCTAGGACTCTTCGAAGGCGGCTTCAAAAGAAAAGAGCTAAAGAGCATCGGAGACATGTTGCCGAGGTGCATGCTTCCCAATGGCAACAACCTCTAGGGAAGCAAAGGTTTATCTGGGTAGAGAAGAAGAAACACAGTACAATTTCTCAAGAGGCAAATAAAAATTCAGTCAATGCAATCGTGTCTCCAAAGACGTCTGCCAAGTGTGTTCCTTTCAAGTCAAATGACTCAAAAGCAGCTAAAGAACTTAATGTTAGCAGCAAAACAATTAGCCTTGGTGAGTTTATTATTGAACTTCCAAGTTCCAATCCAAATCTCCCTTTTGTTTTTTACAAGGAAGCAAGATGCAGCCTCTAGTAGCAAAGAGGCAGTAAAGAACAAAGCAAACATGTTTGCCAAAGAAAACAAAATGAGGGATCATAAAAAAGATGCTGCAACCTTTGTTCCAAGAAGAGGCATGTTGCCGTCAGTTAAAAGCATGCCGCCTAGGAGACATTCTGCCAGGAATATGAGACCTTTGCAGACACATGACATTTTTCATGAAGGCACATACTGGCTACAAAACCTTGACGGTAGTCTGCATCTCACAACAATAAATGGCTTACCTTTTCAGCCATGTTGCCCTTCGATCTATAAGTCATGCAGTAGATCGAAGTGGAAATAATCTCTTTGCCTAAGTCAGGTTTGGGTGGAGATCAGCTTTAATTTAGTTTTTGTTTTTAATTTTCTACAATTAGTGTGAATAATCTTGTAGTTGAGCGGCTTTAAGAAAGGCTGTGAGATGGCATTGCTTTTGAAGACACTACTTTCTATGAAGGCGTGCTTGATTTATGTCTCCATGTCAACCAACAAGGGAATTCATGGAATTGTTCTTTTTGGAGGCTATATTTTACCTTTTTTGTAGACACACTTTTAGCTGGCTTATGTATCTATGAAGCTGTTGTCTATTAGTTATGTCTGCCAGATGATATTTCATGCTATGCTGAAGAAAACAACAATCTCAAATTTCTACATGCTTGGAGACATCATGCTTCCTTTACAATGGCCACATGGTGAGGAGTGCTAGAAACAAAATTTTCAAAAACTTGATTCCACTTCCATGAAGTCGTGCAACCAAGTTTTGGGGGGCATTGTTTACACCCATTTTTGCAAAATAGTATAATGATGCCACGTGTCATCCATGTTGGCAGATATTTCATTAGTTGAAAGTTGTTGGAGTAAATCTC